ATACATCGCAATGAATTGGGTGGTTGAAAATGGATTGAAACGTCGTTAAATAAATTATTTCTAACGGAAAACGTAGCACCATAAAGTATATATTAGAACCAACTGCATCGAATAAACGACAACTTAAGCGCTACCGCACGAACAAGACAATTGTGCACAGTGATGCCAAACGAAAGAGCTTTGCCTATTTGGTTTTATGCTATTGCACAAAAGCGTTAATGTCTCATTCTTCAATTGGAATTTTTAACAAGATCCACATTACGACATGTAATTTCCGATTCTAGCAATGCGATTGCAGCAACGATTTCACAAAAAAAAAAACACGAAACAAAAACACCTAATCGGACAGCTGTGATCTACTGTTAGCTTCGACGGTAACATCGTGTTTCTACTGGCTGCAGCCACACGAGAAAAAAAAAGAAGAAGAAAATAATTGAGTGTAAATTGAATAAAGTGTAAATATAGTTTATGTGTTGTTGGTAATAGAAAAAAGACCTTCAAGGAGAGACGAGAAAAAGAAAAGATGCCGTCGAATGAGATAAAGACATTTAGTTGTTCGACAAATTCCTTGCTCACATTCCACAAATCATTCGTTCAATGCCATTTCGTTTCATCTTCATATATATTAATTTGTCCGGGGCAAATGCAATTCAAACAGTTCGTTTTTCGTGTGTGTGTGTGTTTGCGCGTGCGAAGACGAGATAGAGATAGATAGAATAAAAAGAGATTTGTTCATATCATTTTACTATGTGCTCGGCCACAGATTGGCTACTCTCGGGTGTTTGCATTTAATTTCTCGCTTCCTAAATTACTAATGCTGACCCAGGAAATTTATTGGTTCGCATTATATCTACGCCAATGCCATACAATTTGCACACTCGCATATCTAAAAAAGGTAAATAAATAAATGGCGCCATAACGTAATTTGTACGTGTGCGCGTGCGCATGTGCGCAATCGAGTTTGCCGAACGCGAACACACACACTCATCATCCCATCGCCAGGCGAGAATAAATCGAGCACGCGAGCAAATGAAATCGACTAATATTGCATGGAGGGATGGACAAAGAGAGAATGATGAGGCAACGAATCGTGCAATTTATGTGCAATTTGTTCTATGTGCGATTCAATATGTTGTTAGGTGCTAACACGCATGCGGCATGCGTTTTACATTACAAAACTGTTGAACTTGGATACAAATTTTTTTTTTTCATCTCTCTAAAACAACAAAACTGATTTGCCTGGTGCACCAACGGCAGTGGCCGAAGCATAACGTATAAGATAAATCGCAATCATGTTAATAATTTTCATCGGTTGTCTTCAAGATTATCTCGACTCGTTTTTCATGACATTTATCTACTTCAGCACGTACTGAACTTGTCAGTGTATTGTGGTATGTGTGTGTGCGCACGTTCGGTCAGCGCGCTCTATTCAATGCGTAGATTTATGCTGCACCATGCTCGTCGTCCGCTTTCTATAATCTATGAGCATAAATGCCGATACAAAAACAATGATAAGTTGTCGTAGAATCGCCGGTTGCCCGTTGCTGCGGATGCTGTTGTTGCCATAAGAGAATAACACACCATAACCATATCTGATGTGATCATTTCGCCGTGCGAATAAATGATTTTCTTCAATTGGAAATTTTAATTTGAAATTGTTTTGATGCATTTATTTCTGTCAAATGATTTGCTCGCATTTTGCTTTGCACCTTGAAAACCATGCAGAATGAAAATAAAAAAAAAAGAGAAAAAATATATTTATCCATAAAGAAGCATAAAATAACAATCTAAATGAGACATCAGTTATTGATACATTAATCAAATTTTGCACGTTGTGTCGGCCTTTTCTTCTTCTTTTTCTTCTAATGAACCGGTATTTTCAGCGGCACGAACAGACAAGAACACTAATTACGGCACATTTTGTTGTGCTTCAAATGATGTTCGCTTGTGATTTAAATTAACATTTGAATTTGTTTTCATCGTAATTCATATCAATCTTGACCACAATTATTTTCAAATCCCATAAATTTCTATGGTTTAATATGTAGAGCCAATTGGAAATTGCTTCCGTTCGGAACAGCAACCCTGTTCTAAATTGAGACATTTTCAATGATATATATATGTTGTATGCAGATTAGAAAATGTAAATATCGAAGAAAATTCATGAGCTGTGCTTGAAAATGGCCTTGAAATGGAGTCATTTTATGATGCAAAACAATATTTTATTTTTATCTGTTTCGGTGCATGTACATTGTACAAAGCCGATCACATCGGAACAGATTTCCACCACTGAAAGCGAAAACACATCAAACTATCATCTTAGTCTGGTGGCATCATTTTCTCGGTATTCATTTGATGACTTGATGATGGCACCAGTGGATTTTTGTGACAAGTTGCCTTGCAGCATTTGCATAAAATTCACGTAAAACCGCTTGTGTTCCGTTTTATTTATATATATTTTTTGTACGTTTCACCTGAACCAATCAAGTGACTCAATCCCACGAAGCCATCGGCCGATGACCACAAGTGGCAATTTATGCATGCGCCTCAATGCAAACAGAGAATGTCATATATTGACAGATGTAATGGAGTACATTGGAAACTTCAATTATTTCGTTTGTCATTTTAACTAAACCATTGTCATCGCATTATTCAGAATACATGCGTAAGCGTTGCGTTCGAAAGAAGAAGAAGAAGAAGAAGAAAAACCAAAATGCACACACAAACACACTCAAGAACAAAGAATCCGTTTCTCAAGTTCACTTCCAGTTCAACACTTCAGTTGTCAAATTAATGTGAATGGGAATGATTACTTACATAATCGCTTGTGACAGTGACAAGCGAACAGTGTTCTCTCATTGCAAATGCACATTGCAAACGAAAAAGAAGAAATGTACGTAAATTTATTCGTTTATTGCATAGGTTTTGCTGTGCAATTGCAGTATAATTCATTCCATTTTGACATGCTGCAGGAGAAAAGACTCTCTAAACGACCCACTCTCCTTTCAGCATTCTGAAAGCATTCAAAGACCGTTGCTCGAAATGTGCAGCGATCGTTTCTTTCGCTCTTTTGTATGCAATCTATATTCCGTGTGGCAAACCACTTAAGCACACGTTTAAAACATTTAAGCCATTCATCAAACGACACTCCAAAAGAAAATTCCGAGAATGAACAAATTGAAATCGCGTAAATACAAAAATTCTCTCTTTTGATTTTTATTGCTCATGTTTATATCCATAATTTGATTAAATTTTTTCTTGCTTATTGGGGAATAAATTTGTATAGCCATTCAAACCGTGCCACAGTGCGATTTGACGAATGGCCATAACTGCATACAGAGGGAGACATACACACCGACCCGAATGCGAACAAAAAAGGAAGAATGATACCAAAACAGATGAAGATGATGTTATGCTTGCGCGTACATAAAACGCAATTAAGACAAAAAAGAAAGACAAAAAAATATACTCATGCGAGAACCCGAAACATAAAGAATAGGAGTAGTAGTAGTAGTCAGATGATGACGATCAAAGTAAAATTGATAGAAAATATAAAGGTTGCTAACCCGATTTTGTGCCTATTATTAGAGCATTCTGTTGGTGCAGATGTTGTTGGGCTCGTATGTATGCTTCGGTAGAGTGAGAAAGGAAGAGAATGTGCAAACGAAGCAGAGATTCAGTGTGTCCTTTCAAGGCCGGTTGTTATTATCGAATAACTAACACATTTTGATTTCGATCTGCATTTCATTCTATTCGTATGTTATGCTGTTTCGTATTGCGATTTAACAATATCGTATATCTGATGATATGCATCAGCAGCATGTCTACATGCGCTTTTTCTGCTGAGATACGCATTCAAGTGCGCACGTCTTCATTACGATGCGGCGTATTAACACAATTCGTATTGAGTCTGTGTGTCGATTGAATGTGCATTTATATATTGATTGCGATTCGAGACGGTGATTCCTTTTTCCATTGTTCCATTCATCATTCTTATTTCTTTTTTTTATTATAACAATTTTATCGCTTTTCAGTTTCAAATCAACGAAACTGAAAAAAAAATTAACGAAAAAGAAAATCGACGTGTCGTAATTTTGTAAATGATCTTTTATTGATTTCGTTATTACATGCGGTTCGATTGAAAACGAAAAAAAAAGAAACATTTCAATTCATCGTGATAAATCTTCATAAAAATAATTATATTTAGGGCGCTTATCTCTCAATAGCTAATTTATTAATCGCTCATCAACTGACTGGATGAGTGAATTGTTGAACTTTTTTTGTGGTAATCTTCATCGCTTGGTATCAATTCAATACAATTGAATCATGTTATGTATATGATTTGTCCCGATAATTCGCATTGATACAACATTAACTCATTCATAGACCTGCACTTAAATATCCAATTACGGCTATTACCAGTTTAATAAATGGCTACATTTGACTCTTTATTTCTATTTAAAACGCAGATTATGTCTTTAGCCAAATCAAGATTTCTTATTTGTTTTTCGTTTTGTTTGTTTGTTTGTGTTATTGTGTGTGCACTGTTGTGTGCGTGTTGTAAAAGATTCCTTCGACCATATCACTTGCCAATGATGTATCGTTTTATATCGTTTGCTGTAATGCGGCTTTATTGTTGTCTATCTCGGTTTATAAAAGCCGGAATCGACGTTTATTGTAAGTGGACAGGTATAAATATATAACTCACATTTTCAATTCGAATGAAATTCTGGTGGAAAAAGGACAGACGATTCAAATGTCATATAATGTGTGAACGATCTTCAAATGCACATGATTTTATTCAAATATGGAGATAAATAAACTCAAATTACTATCCTTTTATTGGCATATATTCGATTTTGATTGGAGAAAAATGAGCACAAGAATGCCTTTTTTTATTGACAAATTGGTATTACCGTAAAAATTGATGTTTAATGTTTAGAGTGAGTTGCGTTTTATTCATTTCATTTTAATTTATTTTATTTAATGTTTATTTGCAGATTACGAAAGAAAGGAAACAGAAAAAAAAGCAAACAGCAAATATGTACAATATAAGCCGGATAATTGTGATGCTGTGCACCGTTTCAGCGGCAATGTGCACAACATTGCCAACCGATACATTGGCCGCATCAATAGATGAAGTTCAAAAGAAATTTTCAGCAGGTGGAACGGCTGAAAAGCGAATCATCAATGCCAATGCTCGAATGACGGAAATTAGTGAAAATAAAATAAGCGAATTAAATAATAATGATGATGGCAAAACGGCTTCGAGTGATTTTGAGCCGAAGATCAAGGATAAAAATCGAAATGATAAAATGCTGGATTACTATCGATATTTTGCACCTACGGCATATCCAATGCCGTATGTTCCATATTACAATCCATATTATCAACAGCCTTATATGTCAGCATTTTATTCGCCTTATTACTCTGGTTCGATGATTGATCCAGCAATGCAATCGGCCGATGAATACGATGAAGAATACTCGGACGCAAATGATATCGATAGCGAAAATGATGATGGATCAAGAGCAAATAACAAACGTCGACCTGGTGCATCGAAAAATTCACCGATCTTTTATATTCGATTACCACCGACACCGTATATGTTCGTACCTGGCATGGGCTACATATCGCAACCACCAACCATTCAACCACTTACACCACAGTATCCAATCAATCCATTTATAAATTTACCAATTACTTATCTTAGGTAAGTTATCAATGCCATTATATGCCAAATTTAACAAATATTAAAATTAAAATCATATATTATTATGCTCTTACTATTTTTAATAACAATTAATTTTCGTTTTGATAAATAGCAATGCAAAACCAACCGGAGTCTTTCCATGGAATCAACAACCTTCGGCCAATTTCGGTGCACCACAATTTCCATCGTATTTGCCGCCACGGCCACAAAAGCCATATCGTCCAAAGCCACAATTGACACCCGGTCCAGACTCAAAAATCACACATTTAGGCTCATATCTATTTAACGGTCGTCCCGAAAGTATCTATCTGATGCCACCATATAATCCATATGCATCACCATATCATTTGCCAAATCCATATCAAGCCGCCGCTCCACTTCCACCAACACCATACAATCCATACGCACCCATTTATGCGCCGCAACCAGCATTACCCAGCTATTACTAGACCGATTCTCGATCATCAAAATGAAAACAAACAAAACTAGTGCATTTTTTCAGGATGCTCTCCGAGAATGAGACGTATTTATTACACTCTTAGCATCTACCACATGCAAAGGAAATTAGACTTTCTATTATTATTTGTTTGTAGTGTGTACTCTTGAGGTACTCTTGAAGCAATTATCAGCGGCAATTTTTCTTTTTTAGTAAACATTTTCATAGAACACATATATTAATTAAGAGCTTACCGAATTTTATAAGAAACAGAAGCAAAAATGAAAACAATGAGATTGGCATTTCAGTCATGGATCGGCTAAAGAGTTGATTGACGCGATGAATAATAAAAATTTAACTATGATGAATATGCAATAATATTTATGCGATTAAATGTAGATAGTATAGTTTTTAATTGGATTTGCTGCTCTGTAGACTGTAAGACTTTTTCATTACGTAATTAGGAACAATAAAAGCATTGACATTGCATATTACGTATTAGGTCCTCGTTCTCATCACATACATTTAGATTATTCTAAGAATCGTCAACGCTTTTACTATGAATAAAACGTTATTTGTATTTCTACAATGAAAAATATCGCATATCCCGTGCAATGCACAATTTCAATCAGACATTTATTTTACCTGTATGCTATTCATTCAGTTCCAGTTTGGACGCATTGTCGAAAGGTAATAAATATAACTGAGCTATGACCAAGACAGTATACTCTTCATCCTTAATAGAGTTTAACAAATATACAACGTTCTTCCGTCACATCGTACAACTTTATTTATTGGAATTTATTTGATTTCCTACTTTTTTCTTATCTCTCAGCACTTTCGAAACATTTTCGGATTTTATGCGAATTGGTCAACTTTTCACGTCAATTTTTTCCTCCGCAGCTTAGTTTTGATTAACGTTTCCTACTTTTTTCTTTTAATTCTTGAGGAATGGAGAAAAACGTTTGAAATGAAAAGTTCACGACGTTGTGTTAGAGCTCTTTCAAAGATAATTATCGTCATTGTTGCATGGTATAAAAATAATACTTGATTCATTCACAACAGAAAAAACCTTTCAACAGCATCACACGGTTTCGCTCCATCGTTGAGTGGAGATACATGTGTGTTTTTGTTTCATTAATATGTGTACAATAGATAATATCAAATCCCTAGTCAAAACTGGTTTATATTCACATTTATGCTGTGACCATTCGGTAAATAGTCATGGGAGTTCAGCATGCGAATGAATTTTTTGAGCAGACCACAACAATAAAATCGTTATGTTCAGTAGTAATTGTGCTTCTGAAGGGTTTAGTCTTTGGCAATTTCACTTAAAATGAAGTTCTACTTTCTCTTGGTTTTTTCATTAATTTTACCGTTTGCCTATAATTACAACTTACCGACTTCTAATTATCAATCCGATGAATTGATGTGTATCAAATACTTTTTGAATAATTCAACCGATTTTTCGCATCACAAGCATCTTATTCTCTTACTTATGAATGCTAAATCAAAATCAAAGTTGGAAAATAAGTTTTTGAACACAGAAATTATGGTCCGCCCAATGAGTTTAAAAATCATAGACCATACGCAGACACAATTCGATGAAAAATCAATTTATATTGCATTCATGTCGGAGAGTGAAATCGAACACATCGGAAATTGGTTGAATGAAGCCAAAGGATCATTACATATCGTGTTTGATGAAGACGTCCCGGACACAAATAAAATCAAGAATAAATTCTTACAAACTGTTAACAGATTCAGAAATATTAGTGAAGAATTATTTTTATTTCTTCATTTAAAATTTGAAAAGAAGTGGAATTTGTATAAATTGGTGAATTTTGAAATGTTTTCCATTGACGAATGCTCTTTGAATGAAATGCCATCTGAAAATTTGAAACATCCACAATTATCATGTGGTAATAGTCTTCGTGTTAAAAGTTCAAATGTACCACCATTTATGAGTTTTTCCGAATCGAATGGATTCGAAGACGGAATTGAACATAATCTTTTACAATTGATTTCGAAGAAATTACAACTTAATTTACTCTTTGAATTTTTGAATGCAACAGCACAGCATGACATACTGCAGCAAATAATCAATGGAAATTTAAGTGAACCAAAGTTAGTTTTTTTATCTTTTTTAAAAATTATAAGATTTTTTTGGGGTTTCTTTTAAAAGGAAAATGGATTAATTTTGATTTTAGGGAAACAGATTGTCTGGTTGGCGGTTTATACAGCAATAATTATACGCAGAGATATTTCTTACCATCGATGCAATACGATGAAGACGATTTAACATGGTGTGTCAAACGAATGGAGCCACTTTCGTTTTGGCCGCAAGTGCGGTACGCTGCAACAAAGACCATTTGGATTTTGTGTTACACGGCTGTTTTCACCATTAGTATCGTTTTGATATTTCTAATGAAGTTTCATCGAGACCAATTTGGTTACATGAGCTTTAAATTCGACTACCAGTCACAAGAAATTGCACTACCAGCTGCGACAAATAGATTCTTTCGTCAAAATGACAAATTTTTTAAAATTCTCTACAATTTTCTATGGATTTTTTGTGTTTTAACAATGTCAGCTGTTTGGAATCTTACGCTTATTAAACTCATCACATCGCCGAGTTCCAAATATCAAATTCGAACTGTTGCTGAAATGATTGAGAATAATTACAATTTGATTGGTAGTCCATTTTCCAATGTGTCTGTTTCGGAAAATGTCAAGGTGAGTTTGAAGGAAAATGGTGTTTTTCATTGAATTTAGTAGATAAAAATGGTTTTTTGGGTGAAAAAAAAAAAAATATTTTCAGTTTCCCATTCGAATGAAAGAGCAATTTGAGATTTGTGTTGACATCGAAGAATGTTTGCATCGTTTTACTATTAAAGACCACAAAAAGTACGCGTTGGCTGTTTCAAGAAAATGGATAGAGCGGAAACAATTCGATGCATTGAATAAAATAAGTTGCTTTGAAAAAGCAGAAAACCTAAAAAATTATAGCGTATCATTGCTTGTACGAAAGGATTTTGGATGTATGAACGAAATAAATGAAATTATAAGAAATGCATTGGAAGCCGGTTTAATACAGAAATGGAAACAAGATGGACAATCAATCAAACTTTATAAAAATGTGAATGCTTTTAGTTCACATTCATATTCACGATTGAGCGATGTTATTGTGATTGCGATTGCCTTATTTATATCGGTATTGGTTATATTAGCGGAACTTGTCGTGGATAATCGAATGGAATCACTGAATCGCTACAATATCTCAATATTTATTTATAAATCATTTTGGACACGGAGACATGCTTTCATTCACTGAATGCTCGATTTATGCCGTTCTCATGGGAATCAATATCGCCGATAACATCGATTCAGTAAAATTACATGAATTAATCCATTAATATAAAAACTTTGTACTAATCGCACGATTTATCAATCAATAATTTCACTCACACTATATATACGTGTATGTAACACATTGATTTTGAAATAAAACTCCAGAAAAAAACACTTGCATTGAAAAAAGTTTTTACACCGAAATATGTTGACATATTTATTACAATGATTTTTGTTTGTTTCTTTTAAGAATTAATATGAAAATGAGCACAACCAATGCACTTGTTGGCAAATGCAGCGATCTACATGATATACGAATTTTTTTGTGTGTGTTTTTTTTAAATATTATAAATGTCAATACAAAGTAAATGTTTCTCTTCAATTCGAAAAATAAAGATAATTTTGAATATATCCTACGTATAAAGTGATAAACAAGAGAAAAAATACAAAAAAATATCTATTAATTAAGTTTCCATTTGCACTGCTTCGATACTAAATGAGCGACGGATTGAATATGTTTTATGTTCATACGCCGGTCATTGTCATTGCGATACGTCGGCTTCGAGTCAATTTTTGAAAGCTAAAATCGATGAATTTCTCATCGTTGTTACGTTGTGAATTGCCACGTGCGACCGTTGAATCTTTTGTGGTATCTGCACCGAATGGTATTGTTTTTTTAAATTTTGGCGTTGCACCCACCGAATATCCTTTGCTATGAAACAATTCTTGTGATGATGATGTTGATGATAACGATGATACGGACGATTTGTTTCGACTACGCAATGAATATCGTGACGGTGCGTCGTCCGTTGTGCCAACGCATTCCTGTAACATTTTTGCTAATTGAAAGTCTTCTTTTTCTTGTAACATTTTTTCGCGATTACTGCGCGTTCTTGTTGAATCACAGCATTTAGACGTTTTACGTGTTTGTACAGTTTTTGCAGTTTTCTGTGATCGTCCATTGTTTGCAATGGTTCTTGTGGTGGTGGTATCATTGTTTCGTAGCTCTTCTGACGATGTGCTCGTATCAAACATATCCTGTGTTGCTTCCGATTGACTATCTGCCTCGGCCAGCAATGGTTTTGATATTGTCGCTTTTGCACCTACACTTGTGCCACCAGTCAATAATTTACCGGCATTCAGTAATGGTTTTATGGCTTGAAAAATTACAAACGCCGACTTGCGACGCACCGACGTTAATTTCTTACGAAATTTTCTGTAATGAAAATGTTCCATTTTGGAATTAGTTTTGAATTTTTTTTTAAATTTCATAATTTTTTTTAAATCATATTCACTTACGTTTTAATTGGTTTGTAAATTTTCAAGATGTCTTTTTTTACATTTTTCTGTCTAAGCGGTGGTACGCTCACTATTTTGTCAGCACTGCTACTATATCGAATGAAAAAATAAACATAGATATAGAATTGATTGATTGAAATATACATGTGATTAGGGAAAATGTAAATTTGTGACACGCCAACTTACTTGTTTGAAACGGATAATGGCATTAAACAAATCGGCCGAAAGTGTGTCATTTCACCGAATACTCTAGCTATCTGTGCGTTTTCGTTGATACTATTCTCAGTTTTATATTTGGTTCAATGAGTATTTTTTTTTTATTGTTGATGTTGTTGATATATATCGACCTCCGTGTTACTCGATACTGTGCTTTCTGTTGTTGAATGTCGAATTGCCGTCACCAAATGGTTCAGTCAAAATGCGTTCGTTCAAGTAATTACACTATGTTCTCGGACTGTTATCGATGCAATTAGTCATTGAACCCATGTTCTTTGACAATGTATTGCTTCTAATCGTTAGACTACTTTACACACACTTCGATTTAATGTGACAGTTTATTTCTTACACTGACCTTTCTATGTATTTTCACTTTCTTTTTTTTTCACTCATATAAAATTCGACTGCATTTTCATGAGAACATTTCTGCCAACATTTCTAATTTACAATTTTGCACTGTCAAAAAAATTAAATACACTCTCCAGCTGAACAAAAGCTTTAAAACATTTTTAAAAAACACTGCAAATAGCGTCACGAGTCGGCTGTAGTATTCTCTCCTTTTTTTATCCAATCTCAAAACAGCTGACTAGCGTTCTTTGTACGGCACATATATAATTTGGACATCGATTTATTTGCAAAGTGTTGCAATCGAATTTCTTTTTTTGTTGCAATCCTATCAGACTCGCTGGTGGTAGATTAAAATTATGAAAATGTTGAGCTAAAAATGACAAACCAAATAGAAGTCACACACAAATTAATTATTTTTTTTTCGTATTTTAGTTGTATGTTTGACAGTCATTCATCATTTTCGTTTCTATTGTCGTTCATATATTCTCCATTGTTGTTACATATAATGTATGGTTAGGGTTAAGGCTTCATACAGATTTTTTTGTACTCCATACAATACACATACTCAATGTCGATTTCGAAAGCGAACCAAAAAAAACTCACACTCACCTGAAAATTTATTATCGTGAATATTATCGAACGTTTGACGCTCGTATGTAACTTAATTTAACTAAATGAAAATACTTGAATTTGAACTAAGATGCACACAAGTCTTATGATAAATCTATTTCTTTTTTCGGCTACACAAATTTACAACTTTTCAGTTGTGCTATAATAAAATACATGTCTTAATCTGTAGATCGCTAAATGTCAGTGTTGTTATTGAAACTTGTATTTTCGTAGAGGCCATTCACAATGGTCTCAGCGAAGACGATGCGTTCATGATAACTTCAGTAAATCCGGCAAATTTGACAGGTCGACATTACGTATGATGGCATTCTGCACACATGCATACACACATATGCAGATGCGAACATTTGTACGGCGAAATTAAAGGCGAATTCACACCAATGGACACTTTTTAAATTTGGAATTTCTATTAATTGCCATTGACTTTTAAATACTTTTGTTTAATACATTTTTTTGTTTTTAAATTTATTTCCAAGAAATATTCCATATCACTTCGTTCAAATTATTGTTGTTGTTGAACATACTGTATCAGTTTCTTCACTTATTTTTTCATTTCACTTCGTTCAATAGAGAACAGTTTTATTTCTAATTGATTTTTTTTTTTTCATGGCAAACTCTTCATTCGAGAAAAAAAAGAAATTTAATTGTAAATGACCCGGATACAAATGTTGAAATAAAATGCTCGAAATGAATTTTTCTTAAATCTCGTCAAACATTTTGGCAGATATAACGAAATGCTCGCAACTGTTAACCAATTTCAATTATATTTTGAATATGCTTCATAAAATATCAATATTGTATACATATTTTGAGTGACGACCACAATTTTGAAATTTTACTTATTTGCTTAAGTTGCTTTAAATATTATTTGAATAAATATTTTATGTGAGAAGTTGATTTGCATGATGAACAATAACTGTTTTGTTACTTTGTCTACTTACAAGACACTTTATTATGCAATGAAAATTACAAGAAATATTACAAACACCGTTGAGTCCAAAATTATGAGAAAGTATTCGAATAATACAAATGATCGTGCTTAAAAATTTGCTTTTTTCGGTTTCCATAGCTAGTGCATGAATATTCTAATCATTTATTTATAATATTAAATGGAACCAACTTAATGCAAATAACACAAATTTAGTTTTGTCAAGAAAAAAGTACTAAAGTAAGTTCGAATATTAGTAGTATTTTTCCCTTATCTGTTTCCAATATATTTTTAAATTATTGATGTATCATTGTTTTATTGACCAGTAGACTGTGAGCTGCTTGACGTGCACTTTGTCGTAACAATGTTAATTTGAACTGAAGCAAAACAACCAAATAAGTAGCCATAAAGGAAACATTCTGAAAAAATAAATATTTTAATAGTAAAAGATTAAACGAATTAAATTTAAAAAAAAAACTAAAATACCGAAGTAATGAGACTCCTATTGATGTCAGCATATTGATCCAAATTCATGATTGGTGGATTTTTCTGTATGGCAATCAAAAACATTTCAACTTCCTTTTGTGTTGATTTATCGACCGCTGTTAAATTCACATTCAAAAGGCGTGTTTGAAATTCGAGGCCAACCTGTTAAACAAAATCTCTATAATTTTTTGTTCTGAATAAAATTTCGCCAAATTAAAATTTTCTCATTTGTTAAAATACAAACCCGTTCACTGGCCATATGTGCTTTGTTGCAAATAATAAAAAGCAATGTCATGCAATAGACGACGATAATAAGTAAGCCAAGCTCCTTGAAAGTCGCTCCATGGTCCAAAATTTCCGACAAACCACCTGAAATTTTTTTTTATACAGATCAATAGTTTTAATCATATTAATATTGAAGAAATAGTTTTTTTTACGACTTTTATATTTAAATTGAGTCGAACGATAGCTTGCGTGAACCGCTCATACAAAATGCATGAACAATCTATGATATGAACAAAATTATGTATTACCATAAAGTGCGATGATGGTGGTGAAGAAAATTATGAGACAATAAATGCCATACATATTGGAATAAGCTCTGCCCAGTTGTTGCATCATGTGACTCAAATCAACCCACAAATGCCGATATTTTGTCAATTGCTCTGATGGCCTCGGTTGGCTCAATGATTCTTCTAATTTGTCCGACAGTAGTTTACTGGCCTCAGAGAATGCGGTGGTATTTAAATACCAAAGACAACAAAAGCCATTCAACATAGCAATGATGTGCAAATATGCAAAAATATGCCAGAATGTGAAATCGGGTTGAAAATAGTACTGAGAAATCATCATCATAAAGCTTAGCAGCCAGCTAGCCACACATCCGATCCAAGACATTGCTGACAATTGTTTGAATATTATAGGTATTCCGGTCACTCTATAATATTGTAATTGATCTGAAAACACATGAATGGCATTAAATATTTGATTCAAGTTTTTTTTTGTTTTTTTTTTTCTTGTATTACAAGCAGTCCACATATTTTTGAATTTGGCCACTTCCGATCCATTGCGCCATGATGCTACGGGTAATAAAAAATGCGGCAACAGCAAACTTATGAAAATAACATTGTAGATAACTTCATCGAAACGTTTTGCAGAGCTCAAGAAATTTTGGACTCGAGCCTGAAACGTGTATATGACGAGAATCGTCAAACAGCCATATATGAAATAAGCCCACAAGAAAACCGATGATCTCCTACGAACAATTGAATTCAAAAAATGTATGCTGTAAAATGGGCTCAGTGATCCAAAATATTTTCCGAATTCTCATCTATATATCGATCGCCGTCACTTAATCGACTTAGAAATACTAACCAATGATAAGTGGTGCGTGGTAATTTTTCACCTGAAATTTAAAAAAAAAAATCTTTTTTTATGTTGTTCGAGATAAAAAAATCGAGGAACGTGACAAAAAATGATACAACTTTTACCTGGTGCACTTCGTTTAATCGGCATAATTCCCATAATTTGAAAGAGAATCAATAAACTTTTGGTTGTTTTGTAAAACGAATCATATTCATCCAATAAATCCACGTCGAGCTCCACTTCTTTTGGTCTAATGTACAAATGTGTGGGACTGGAATTATCTGTACGGACAAAAATTCAGCCTATTAGCACTTCTTTGATAAATTAGAGTTTCAATGCTTCATTTTTTAGTCCTTTTCTCATTTTTTTTTTTTTTTGGAATATAAATATGAAAAGAACTAAACAGAAGCAAAAAATTTGATAAAAGAAACGAATTTCACCCAAACCTGCATGAAGCTGGTTTAATTTTTCACGATATCTCAGTTCGTCTTCAAAAAACTGACGTTGATTTGGATTGAAAACACCAAGTGGTTTATCATGGTCGTCTTTTTTTTCGGACATCTCTTAATTAAAGTGAAGTGTTTGAAAATTAAAACTCAACTGCATGATAAAATCGCTTAACTTTGGACTTATATAGCATTGCTTCATCAAGGTTAATGAAAAATCGATAAGTGATTCTTCACTACTGTGGGAATGTGTAAACATCTATTGCATTTTTAATAATGTTCAGTCAATAAAATAGTGACAAATAAACATGCATTTCATTTTCGGTTTTATTCAATAACATTTAATATTTCACATTCACCTTCACATATCTTGTGTATATTTTGATATCTGTATGTCAGTTGTGAATGTTATTATTTATCGAGCATTTCCCGACCCATATTTGCCGTTCCATTGAATATACTGTTCGAGATCGTCGGGTGAAACACTTGCGCGTACATTGTTTAATGCTTCGAGAAAATCGTTGTAAGTCACTGGTCGAACGCTGTCGGCCGAAATTTTAATCACGGCCGAAAATGACATCGATGTAACGGGATAGGAACACGCCTCTTTGCATAAATTTGTCATGTCCGAACCTGAAAATCCGTCCGTTTTTTGTGCAATATTTTCAATTTGCGCTTCAGTTATGCTGTGTTTCAATTCCGGAGACATGCTTAGCAATTTGAATATCATTTCTTTTCGGGCTGAAGTATCTGGCAATGGAACATACAGTCTCTTCACGAATCGTCGACGCGCTGCTTCATCGAGCTCTTGTGGTCTATTTGTTGCGCCGACGATTAGAACACGGTCTTTTTCCGCTGTCGATGTGCCATCAAGTTGTACCAAGAACTCCGTCTATCAATGCAAAACGAAAGAATTAATTCAATATACTCGGTGAAAAATTATGATTTATACCAACCTTTAGCCGTCTTGAACTCTCATGCTCACTTTCGGAACGTTGACAAAGAAGTGAATCCACTTCATCGATGAACACCACTGAAGGCTGTGATGCTGCTGCAACAGCGAATAGAGCTCGCACCATTTTCTCTCCTTCACCTATCCATTTTGACGTTAAGCTCGATGCACTGATACTGAAGAATGTTGAGTTTGACTGTGACGCAATACATTTTCCAATTAGGGTCTTGCCTGTGCCCGGTGGACCGAACTGTGTGTAAAAATTCAATAAATAATGAAATTCTGAAGAAAATTTAATAAAATTCCAACTCACAAGCAAAACACCACGCGGTGGCGCACGTATACCAGTGAAAATGTCTGGCCGGAGAATTGGCAGAACGACGGCTTCTTGCAGAGTTTTTTTGGCGTATTGTAGACCAGCAATACTATCCCAATCTGAAAGTAATATCAAAAACATTTTCAAATAATATCGTGATTTCAAACTTCATTTTAAAGGCATAGAGATATTCACCAACTACGTCACATTTGGTCACAATTTCATTTTGAATGGCTTCAATCATTTTGCTATCGACATTTTTCAATCTTGGATGATTCATATCGAATCCATCAATCGCTGGTGTGTCATTCATTTGATTTGAATTGTTTGCACTGGTATTTGAATTTTGTAAAGGTGACACAAATTGTCCGCCAACTGATCGTCGACCGCCCAAAGATTTTCGCAGTCCACCACTCGGTTTAACATTGTACTGCATATTTTCATTTTGATTATTACCCATTCCGTACTTTTTAGCATGTTGTATACTGAGCTCTTCGGTGGCTGTTCGGAAGCTATTTTGTGGCGCATATAAATTTGGTTCAATTTTCTCTTGTTGTGTCGTCGGTAAGTATGATGGTCGTTTGCTACTTTCATAAATATCATTGTCGGTTTTGCGCTTCGTAGCATAGATTGGATGAAATGCATTTGTGGTTTCAGCTGGTCTGGAGATGTCATTCTGATGACTTGTTTGGTTTTGCGTTGTTTGATTGTGAAATTGATTATTCAGTGTCGGTCGGTATGGCTGTTGATTCGGTGTGTTTTGATCAAATGCCGTCTTTCCTTTGAAGTTCATGTTGAATACCAAGTCACCGCTGTCATTAATACACATTTTTGATGATTCGCCCTTGGTGTTTTTTGACTCGTACGGTGGCTTTTGCGAATTTATTGTCGGCCGTTTTTTCATCAAATTAAAAAACTTATCAAGATCATCCAATAGCGCATCATTTTTACATGTGTTCTCGCACTTCTTCGACTTCAAAATGTCATCAAACTGTTTTGTATCTAGATTTGATTGAAGTGAACCTGGTGCTATTTGAACATTCATCTCCTTCATCATTTTATCAATATTATTTTGTTGAACTGGAGCCGATTCTTTTAAATACTGATCCAAATCGTCGGAAAGTATGTTACAAATTGTATGGTCATCGTATTTTCTGGTGAGAAATAATCATTCAAATAACTTTTTTGAATGGAAACATTGGTATAATGACACTACACTTACTGATTGCACGCCTCTGCGTACATTTGGAAATTTATTTGTCTCATCAAGTGCAGTTTTTTATTCGGATCAGTTTCTTTGTGCAATTGTGCAACATCATTTCCACAAAATTTCAAAAAATCACTTGGTTTTTTGCGTTCCATAATTTGGTTTTTTACGTTGTTTTCGATTGCAACACAAAATGTAAGCGCGCTCTTCAACAAACCGGTGCTGAAGAGTCAAACAACATTGAGCGAATTCAGTTTTGACAGTTCGATGAACAACAATAGCGCCAATTCAAATTGGAAGGGATACCAACGTCAAAATAATGAAAATCATAAACAAAGGAATATTTTTTAGAAAATATATTTTTCAAAACGACAAATCTTTATTTTTTGATTAAAAAAAATATATTTTATTCATAAATTTTGAAATTATATAAAATATATGTTTTTTATCATAGCATTATTAATGAATGAATAGACAAACAGCAAAAATTGTGTTTCGAATAAATGTAGTCTTAACTAAATGGTCTATATGAGTTAAATTGTGAGTCGTTTTGTTTGGTCGAAAAACTTCGGACAATACCTTCAGCTCCATCCTTGAGTCTACTGGCGATCTCCCGACCCAGCCTCCTAGGAACAATTGAATTCAAAAAAGAAAAAAATTGAATCGTTAGATTGTAAAGTGGACTGCTGATTTGAGCATAGTTTGTATTGTTTTGATCTGAAGTGCTACTAATTGTATCGTTTCGTTGATTATCTACAAGTTTTTGAGGGTCTCCGTTGATTTGTTCTAGGCTTAATTGACCTACTTTTTGCTCAACTTCATCTGCCGACGAATCCAAACTACGTTCATTTTCCGAAATTTCATCAATACCTCGAACGCCATCAGATAATCGACTTAGATATACTTGAACCAAATTGAAAGCATCTTCATTTACTCTCTTCGTTGCATCTACAACAGATTTGACCGTTTCCACAATTTCTCTTGATACTTCTGTTGTAAAACAAATAAAAATTGTTTTAGTTTTTTTTTTGTATAATTTTGAAATAAATGTGTTTTACTTGTATCACTGTTAGGCCATGCTACAATATCCGAATTTCCCAATTTTCTTGCTTCGACCTTGGCTGGTTCGGATTCGGGCTTTTCTTCTGGTTTTGTGTCGGAGTTTTCTTCGGGTTTTGCTTCGATATTCGATGCGTTCACTTCTGTAACAGAGACCTTAACTGGAGTCTCTGAAATAGGTGTTTCCGGATTAGCTTGAACCTCTGGCTTCAAACTCATATCGCCTTGTGAACTCGTCACATTTTCAACTGGATCTTGTAATGGTCCTGTTCCAGTGAAATGTTTTATAATCGACGCGGGAATCGTTTTTACTTTGGTGGCAATATTTTGCAGAGCACCCTTATATTTGGCAAAAGCAGTTTGCAATGAATCGGAAGAGTCAGAACCGAGGAACTGTAAAATAAGTTAATTGTGATTAATTCACAGTACAAAATGCTGAAAATGGTCTCCTCTTACGTGGTGAAGTAATGGATGTTTTATTGTTTTTTTCTTAATATCAGTTTGAGGCGTATCCAAACTGACTACGGGTTTTTCTCCATTTTCAATGTCCAAATCAGTAATATACGTTTGAACAAAACTCAATGCTTTCTCGTTAACAACTTTCAAGCTGTCTAATATAAAAGATAATGCTTTAATTTTTTCCTTTGCTGGCGCTGGTGCCTCCGTAGTGTCTACTTCTTTGATTTCAACGAGTATTGGAAATTCCGTCGTTAATTCCACAATAGCATCATCCATTTTTTCTATAATTGTACTAACAATTATCTCATCCTCAATCGGAAGACTATTCACTGAATTGACCACTGCTATAACTAAAAGAAAACTCACACACTTTTTCGCACAAATCATTTTTTTTTATTTGACAGAAGAACAAATTTGAATATTTTTTTGGGTCAAACGGACCAGGTTTGGCTCAATTCAAAGTAAAATGTTAATGTAAAAGAAGAAATGCATTGCTTAAATACTGCATAATTAGTCAAATGCAGTATATTTGTACAGGTTTATATCTAATTGTGTCGGAATTTGATAAATATATTGACCACTTGTCACGTAGGCTCATCATCTTCATTACAATAACAACAACAAATTCTAACAATTACATTTTATATTAATTTGAATGTCGTTTAATATGAACGAATATATTTTTTTTTTTACCAAACACGCAATAAATTAGAAAAAAGTTAAAGAAGTTCAATTAAAAGTACAGATAACACAAACCGCATTTTAATATGACTTATGCCAGTAGTTTCCAAATAATTTTTTTTATAAATAAAAATATTCCTTTCTGACTCAGAAGAAATACCGACAGTCAAATTATTTATTTTTGGAATATAAACAAACCCAAGCACTCAAATTGCACCGTTCGCCCGGGGTTTTTACACCGTGCATAAGTTACGAAAACACGGAATAGAATAAGGCGCAAAGCATGAAGACACACATACACTTCGTATTTCGCTCCGTTTTTGTTTCGTCTTTTCGTAACTAACGAACGGTGTAAAAACCCCGGGCGAACAGTGCAATTCGAGTGCTTGGTAATCTTTCTTCTAAATAATCAGCTAGTTCAATGACTGAATGTTAAATGACTCAAGATTGATCTGTTTTCAATTGTACCAAATTTACGGTCATGTTAATCTTATCATTTTGTAACAATCTAAGGACTCATTTGAATTTTTAATGACAAGAAACTACATTGTTACCATTCATTTTATATGTATGATAAAGTGAAACGATTGTGTCGTTGACTTATACTGTTGTGAGAATGCAGTGTCAATAACTATTTTTAATAGTTTCACACGAAGTAAATAATAATTTACATCCCTGCGGCACAGTACGTTTTTGTTCCACAATTCACATTTTACGACAACACAAACTCACCATAACAACATTTTATTGGAAAATCTATCTGATAAATCATTTAATGTGCATTAGAATGTATGACAATACAAAATCTGGTCTTCTTACAATTTATAAAAGCTGCGATAAACAAATGCATAATCAAAATGTTCAATCAAATTTATATCGTAAGCAATAATTGTGAACAAACGTGTGTCATTAAAACTAAGTTAAAATCACTTGAGTCACGATATCTAAACAACATGTGCACTCGTAAATTAAAGAGTTTATTATCAAGTCAAGTGCCGGATCAGTGTAGATTTTATTCGGCAAAATAATTTCAAAATGAGCATCGATGAAACAACAACTATGCAAAAACAGAGTGTTACAAATCAGTTTTTGGTGACGTTTGTTGGTAAAAGATAATTGTAGATTGAAAAAATGGAAGTTTTTGGAGAAAAATATATTTTTTAATTTTGATGTAGTGGGTCTATTCATGCTGACTGGTGGCATTACAATGGGATGGACTAGTTCAAGTATTTTGGTTTTGATGTCAGACGAAACACCACTGGCCAGCGGAAAGATCACAATCGAAGAAGCTTCTTGGATTGCATCTTTACCATATGCGGGAGGTATAATCGGCAATATAGTCTTTGGATTCGTTATAAATAAGTTTGGTAGAAAGATACCAATTTTTTTGCTGGCATTTCCATCTTTTGTATGTGTTTTATTTTAAACCAGTTCTTTGTATTGAAAGTAATTTTGGTATATTTTTAGTTAAGTTGGTTGATGATATTATTTGCATCAAATAGCCTTCATTTGTGCGTGGCTAGATTCATCAACGGTATTGTTAGTGGTTGTAGCAGTATTGCTACACCCTTATTTTTAGCGGAAATTTCAAGCGATCGGTAAAAAGAATAATGCCTAACATACATTATTACAAATTAATTAAACTTTTTTCAGTATTCGTGGTGCTATTTTGGCAACTCTCGTTTCATGCTCTATCATTGGTACATTGTTGTCTTTTGTTTTTGGTCATTTTTTCCATTACTACATCACTCCAAAGATTACGCTAGTTATAATCGCATTATTCGCCTTTTTTATACTATTTTTTCCGGAATCGCCTGTATTCTTAGTAAAACGAAATAGAATATCTGTGAGTCTAGTATTATTATTCGTTCAAAAGTGCATTCAACATGTAAGATTTAAAAAAAAAACTATCCACAGGAAGCGAAAAAATCGATTCGATTCTATCAGAGCTTGCGTAGAGATAGAATCGAAGATAATGATGTACTCCAGCAAGAACTTAAGAAATTGGAAACTATTTTTGCGTCAGAAGCAGAAGTTTATTCGAACAATGGAGTAAGAGCATTTAGATGGACTGATTTGAATACAAAAATAGCTCGAAAGGCATTGTTAATCGGTATTGTTCTGTGTACGCTGCAGCAATGTGGCGGTGGTGTAGCTTATGCATCTTATGCAGCGAAAATATTCCAAGAAACTGGTTCGAATATGTCACCGAATGTATCGGCTATCGTGACTGGAGCTATTGAATTTGCGGGTATATTGGTTGCTGTGTATCTTATTGATCGTGCTGGACGGAAGGTGAACTTCTTATTCAATAATTAGATCAATAAGGAAGTGATTTTATACAGTTTTTTTTTATTACAGTTTTTGTATAAAATTTCAACATTTGGAATGGCATCCGGTTTGATTATCTTTGGAATATACGTGCATTTAAAATCATTGAATTATAATGTAGAAACATTCAACTGGATTCCACTTACATGCTTTTCATTCATTTTATTCATAATGCCATGGGCAGTGTCTTCTTTGCCATTTGGTGTTGTTCCAGAAATCATGCCTGAACAATTAAAGGATTTCGGATGGTCGTTTTGTATGACGCTTTTATGGATATGGGCATTTATAATGGTAAAGTTTTTTCCATTCTTAAATGAAACACTCGGTATGCACGGAACATTGTATGCATTTGCTACAGTATGCCTTTCTGGTGCACTATTTGTCATCACATATTTGCCCGAAACAAAAGGAAAAAGTTATGAAGAAATTATGGAATTGTTGAATCAATGAGGCGGTAATGGTGGTTTTTACTTATTTTCATACCAGTTTGTTTAAATCATTTATCCTTTTCAAAGTCATTATATACCATTTAGGAGAGTCAACAGTTTAAATATTTTATGTAAACTCAAAATCCCAATGAGTCATTTGCGAATAAAAGATATGACACTTTAGACTAATATTCATAAATATACGTATATAAGATGTCAAGAGCACAAAATTCAATGAAAAATGCTTTCTGAATCTCTTTTTTAAAGTTTTATAAAACTAGTTGGAATTCTTAAATATAAAATGAGGAAAACGCATTTTTTTTTTTCAGAATAAAGAAAGGTAACAATAACGCATGCATATTTGAAAGGATCACATTTTTTATTGGAAAAAATTATTTTAATATTTTGCAAATAAAAATACTTCATAGAGCAAGTGCCCAAACAGGTTTTATAGTCGGCCTGATTTTATATATTTGTCGACACAAAACGTCACATTTCTACTATTAAAAAAAGGTTATAATCCAATTTCTTATCACCATATTCAATCAAAGTTTATTACATTTTAACCGATAATTTTAATCAAAAATATCAACAAACTAAACAAAGTTAGTTGAAATGAATTATATTGATCGTTGGGTATTGGATCGAGTGAATGATAATGGATGGAGTGTTTTCAAAATGAGAATCAGTGAATATGCGAAACCCAAGTGTCAAAAACCAAACTAAGTTTTCAAGTTTTTGAACCAATTGAAAAAAAAGAAAGATTAATGTTACAACCGGGTGGTCGAGTGCAAATATTTCACTTTTAATGTCCGACGAAACACCATTGGGATCTGGCACATTTACAATCGATGAAACATATCTTGAATTGCGTCTCTTCCGAATGCTGAATCGATTTTGGAAAAAAATTCTCTATGGATTGGTCGTACGTTTTTATTTATATACAATTAAAGTTTTTTCAAAGAAAAATGTAATATATGTATAGCAAAAGAGGAAGCAAAAAGAAAGAATCTTCTCTGGTGTTGTCTCAAATGCACAAAATGGTTCAAAAGACGGAAATGAATTGATGAAGTGGTCCAATTTGAATACGAAGTTGCCCAAAAGACATTTTTCTATCGACTTTGAATCCATACATCGGTAATTGTACCATACAGCAAAGATGTTCCACGTTGCCGTGTATATAATTTCAAAACTTGGAGTGATATATGGTTTGATTATCTCTTGAGCATCACCAAATTATGATATTGAAACATTAAACTGGATACCGGTATCGAGTGTTTCTTTCATTATTTCCGTTATTTCTTGGGCAGTGTCTACATTGTCATTAATTGTTATGGCAGAAATTATGACCGCGCGATGAACAACACTGTTATAGCTATGGGCATTTATAAATATAAAGATTTTACTGTTCCTCAATGAAGGATTTCTGATGCATTATTTATTATCACACATTTTCCCGAAACAAAGGGCAAAAGTTATAGAGAGATTACGATTTATTGAACTAGTTTGAAGAAAAACAACGATATTGCTTTGTAGTACAAGTTTATTAATTTTATGATTTACTGATGAGGAGATATTGATCGGAATTGAATGTTTTTACCACTGATGAATGATTTTCGATTTTAATACTAATTTAATCGTCTTGTGGATTATTCACACGACATTTCCCATCTATAAGTACTTCTTCAGCTTTGCAGGGTGTCTGGGATTCTTCTGCTGTCGAAGATTGGCGATTGAAAAGACCGATTTCAGGTGTGGTTGATTCTGGTTCTACTCCATCATTTTCGAATACTATTTTATCAGTATTTTCTATTTTAACGGCCTTTGGTTGATTTGAACTTTGACGCTCCAAAGATTCCGTTGCATTTAATTCACTGTTATCGTTGCTAACTTTTTCATCTTCTTTATTTAAAGTTTCACTTTCTTCGGAATAGTTTGTCATTTTTTCGCTACTTTCCGTTGGTCGTTCTTCTTCTTTTTCAGTTGTAGATACGATAGTAGTGGTCTCACTTGATTCTTTTTGGCTTTGATTTTCAACTTCAATTTGGATTTTTTTCACCTCACGTTCATTCTTTTCACTAGATTGATCCAATTGGGCTGTTACTTCTTGTACGTTGTCTGATTTTCGTACGGTGCTTGATTCTTCACTTTTTGGTATATCTTCATTAGACTTTTCGACGCTTTGATTTACCTCATCAATTTCGATCTTTCTCTCCGAGTTTTCATTGGTTGGTTGACTCAACACAGTTGTTACTTCTTGTTCACTGATTATTTTTTCCGTGGTGCTTGGTTGCTCATCAACTACGATTTTGATCTCATCATTTGCATTCTTTGGTTGACTCAATACAGTTGTTACTTCCTGCTCACTGTCTATTTTTTCTATGGTGCTTTGTTGCTCATTTTTTGGTGTGCTCTCATTTGAATCGTTTAAACTATGTGTTTCCGGTTCAATTTTGATTTGTTTCACCACATTTTCACTGGTTACGTCAGATTCAATCAGATGAGTTGTTACTTCTTGTTCACTGTCTGGTTTTTCCGTGGTAGTTTGTTCATCGCGTTTTGTTGTGATTTCAACTGGTTCTTTTAAACTTCGACTTTTTACTTCGCTTGGAAAATTGTTGATCACTTTTCTGGCATAAGATGGGGATATTTCAACTTCGTTTTCAAAAAGTTCTTCATTCAATGATCTTCCAGCTGGCTCACTTTTACTTTCCGACGACGAGCTAACGGATACAGATACTGATTGAGCGATGCTAGCTCCATCGACTGAATACAGAATATTTGCAAATGCTATAACCAGCAAATAAATGGCACTTTTTCTAATAAATGACATTTTTTAATCTTTTCACAGCAGCACCGTTTGGCGAATAATAAATGCGGATCTTCCGCAAGCAAAACTTGCATTAAAATGACAACGCCAAACGAGAAGAACTCAGTTTAAATAGCTGAAAACGAATATGTTAATTTGGTAATATTGAATATAAATGAATAAATATGTAATATATAGCTTGTTAGCAATCTTAACCCTTTGAAGCATCAATTTTTCCTAATTTTTTTCTTATTTTTTTAAAAATAGATTTTGTTGTGAAAACACCAACAAATAATAATGTTAAAAAAATCCGTGTTTTGCATAAAATATGCAAAAAGCCGAACCCAACCAAAGACAAAGCTATACATTGGCAGTATGTCGGATTTCAAAGAAACACATTATGTACTTGTTGTCTGAGATATACTGGGAAATTCCAAAAATAATAAAATGAAGGACTCGAGTTCAAACCTAATCTAATTTTCATTTTTGCTTTTGTTTTTTTTTTTCAATGGGAAATCGTGCAAGATTTTCCCATAAATCGTGCAAGATTTATGGAAAACCCCATCTTATTATACATTTATAACTTGTAATTCTTACAGTTTAAGTTTATCTCTGAATGTCAGAGAGCAAGGAAATAATGTGTATGTATTTTGGACTATTTGCATAGTTCTGCTTATGGGACGGGTTCACAAGAAATGATTATTTTTTTCCAAGCATATGATTTCATGTACTGTTTACAAAAAAATATTTGCTCAAAATCCAATTGTCAAATGAGGCTTATCCAGCAGTATTTTAATTCACAACTTAAACGTTTTATAGTTCATTACATATCTCAGACAATAATAATATACACACTCCTCCCAAAGTCAGTGATATGCACTAGAGGGTTAAAGCGACAAATCTACCGGTTGCGCTTGTAAACTTTTGCATAGTAAATTTAAAAATAAAAACCACTTTAACAGAACTTGTTATCATTTTAAGTGGTTTTGATCGCTCGAAATTGATTGTATAACTCATTTCAAATGGAATTTGGTAAGCAAATTTTTTCGATTCATGGTCAATAACTTCCAATATGATACACAAAAGAAATCAGTAGATAAAACAAGAGAAAAACAAAAGTAATATTTGCTTGCTTTTGGTCCGCTTAAGACGTGTGAAACTATTGAAAGATATTTTTATCTCGACGAAATATGACGCATTACTTCAGTTATGTAAATTTATGTTTTTAGCACAACTGTTATTCGTTTGTGTGTGGCGCAATTCCATCGGTTGTCACTAAGCATGAATCAATTTTGAATAATTATTAACGCTGTGTATTGTCACGTGTACGAAAATAACACGTTGTGATCAACGATCACTGATCATAGCGCGCACGGTTTATCCAAACACTTCAAAAAACCCAAATTCACAAACAAAGCAGGTAAAAATTTCCGTCAAAAGTTAACGAACTGCATTCAATGATTTGGTTACTCATCTTAAATCAATCAATTCACATACTAACGCTTCATTGTCAAATGAATAAATTGTTTCACGTACGTTGAAATCCATTCACCGTTTCGGCTTGATATTCATTTAAACACCTTTGATGTAGTTTAAACATATTCCGTGTGTTAAACATTTGCTGTGTTTACTTTTATATCGTTCTTCATCTGTATTAAGGTATAGCCATGCAAATCTTTCTAATCGATATGTTTTTGTAAATCACTTTTTGAACTATTTTATTTAAAATTAAATGTAATATTTAGAATAAAAATAACACTTTTTATAATTCTTTTCGAGAGTATTTTATTATTTATTTATTAACCTTATCTAGGGGATATCCATGCGAATTAGAATTAGCACATTAGCAAAAAAATAGGGACACTTACATGAAGAAAATAGCGAAATTAGCAATAAATAGCAGAATTAGCACTGTACACGTATATACTTTAGTAAGAATTTATTCTTGAATTTATTGCAATAATTAATTAAAATAAAATTCACAAAACAAACGAATTGAATAGTGTTGAACTAAAATGTATCAAAATATGTAGTTAAATACGCTTTTTCCCATTTTTAAATAAAAATATATTCAATGGCACTTAACCAAGCACGTTCCATCTGTATTAGCTACAATTTACGAATTGCAATCGGAAATGTAGATTTGATGACAGATTTCTTACTGAAAACGTATACGTCTCTGCAAACGTAAAACTTGACGTTTAAGGCTTGGTAAACAATAATATTTTATATGACAAGTACTCACACGATATTCAATTTTTCTGTTTTAGTATTTTATCAATCAATTTTGAATTTAAATAATTTTAATTCAATTGAAAAATATAAAATGAATGAAGCAGGCTTGGAAGCACAAAGCAAGTGGAGTGTAATCAAGAGAAAAAAACACTTAAAAATTATTTTAATAAAATATATACAGCCCGAAACTTGATTTAATAGCACTGATGTTGTAATGTAGATAATAATTTCAATATTCAAAGGACTGAAACTTCAATGAATAGAAATAGATTACATGCCTGCTTCAAATATACACGTTGAAAGTGTCAACTTGAAACATTTACGTAAACACATTTCGGTTATTCGATCATGCAGTCAATCTGACGTATGCAATATTTTTGACGTACTAGAAAAATTAGCAAAAACTAGCAGTATTAGAACAAACTAGTAGAAATACTAGCAGAATTAGTGGAAAATAGAGAGAAATAGCGTTTATTATTATAAATTATTCGATCTGCAATTCATGGTTATCCCCTAGAACCTTATGGTGAAACAATTTTTTTCTAGGTTTAATTTAACGTTCAATCACGAAATAATTTTTAATAATAAATCAGACAATATATTGGGCTGATTATTCATTTGAAATGAAAAGAAATAGCACGCTATTTTTGATAAGACAATAGAAGTGATTGTTATAATTATTGTACCAACGTAAGTGTTTATAGCCACAACAATCACTTCTATTGTTTTATCAAAAATAGCGTGCTATTTCGTTTCATTTCAAATGAATATTCAGCCCAATATATTGTCTGTAATAAATAATACACCCCGCTTTAATCTCCAAGTAATTTAATGTTGACGATGATGAACTGCGTTATCACTATAGTGTTTAAATATACAATTACCTACCTCTAATTGCTTACATTATTGATAATTTATTGTGGTGTCTGTAAATGTGTAAATACTGCTAGGCCGTTTGAAACTTAAGTTATCAAATGTTTGACTAATCTAAAATCACGAAACAGAAACAACTAATATGAAAACAGAATGCAACAATGAAGAAATAATGGGCTTTACCTGTTTTCCAAACTAAGCCAACTAATCAACTGATAACCATAGGTCTTAAGATAATGTTTGAGACAGATTTATACTGACAAAATTATTTGATGCATGTGCATCTTATCTGGCCAGGTATATGAGTAGAAAGTATTATAGTTAGATGAAGTTTGTCTTTTTTGCTCTGTGTACGCAATTACAATGGCCAGATCAAGTGCCAAATTTCAGTATTTAGCTGGAATCGTAGGTATGTTGGAAAATGTGTGTGTGCGGTATTTGTGAAAAGGTTGTGATATCGAATAAATCTCTATTTTAAATGAGTAGTCAACATGATGTCAATAGTTCATGGTATACAATGCGGATGGTCTAGTCCAAATATCGTTCTATTAACATCAGATGAAACGCCACTCCCGTCGGGTAAAATCACAATGGAAGAAGCCTCTTGGGTTGCTTCACTGTTTCCGATTGGAGGTCTTATTGGAAATATATGCTTTGGATTCATTACCAATAGATTTGGCCGAAAAATGCCACTAATATTCATCACAATTCCAACAATCGTAAGAAAAATATTTTATGGTAAAATTCGTATAAAAAACAATTCCATTTTATCATACAGGCAAGTTGGTCGCTCATTTTGTATGCACAAAATTTTTATTTTTTAACTATTTCGAGAATATTAAGCGGTTTTGTAAGCGGTGGCATTTTTGGAACCGTTCCAGGCTTCTTATCGGAAATTGCAAATGATCGGTGAATAAAAAGAGTGCGTTTTACCGACAATTTAATTGGTTTAATACCATTTTCAGAGTTCGAGGGTTTTTGGGTTCAACTTTGGTTTTTAGCTGCAATATCGGAGTTTTACTTGCATTTGTTTTTGGCAATTATTTCAGTTTTTATATGACGCCAAAATTTGTGATTTTGTTGACGATATTGTTCGGTTTCTCATTTTTCTTCTTTCCCGAAACACCTCTTATGGCAATCACAAAGAGAAATGACTTATCGGTGCGTTTAATTGAATATAATATTAACATTATCATTTGAACGCAGAATAAAATGACAATTATTTACTGTAGGAAGCTGAGAGATCGATTCGATTCTATCAAAATCTGAAAAAGAATATCGATTATGAAGTGCTTCAGTCGGAAATGAATAAATTGAAAAATTCACTTCAAGTAGACAATGTGAAAAAATACGATTCCATAAAATGGTGTGATTTAACAAGTGGTGCTGGTAGAAAAGCCATGATAATTGGCATTGTATTGGCTGTACTAAACCAACTCTGCGGATGCTTTGCTATGTTACAATACACTGCCAATATTTTCGAAGAGGCTGGTTCTACCATGGTTCCAAATATGTCGGCAATTGTTGTTGCTGTGATACAGCTCATTGGTATGTGAAATTTAAGCCCTTTCTTTCTCTCGCTTTCTCTACTCCTTTGGCGTTTTAATACTCAAATTACAATTCAACATTTGTTGATTGGGCCCGAAGAAAGATAAACTAATATTCTTTTGTTCTTCCCATTAGGATCTTATGTGGCAACAATTCTTGTTGATCGAGCTGGAAGAAAGGTAGAAAATAGTTTTTGTTCCTTTTTTTCAAAAAATTATTTATACATTTCTGTGCAGTTTTTATTCATAGTTTCTTCCATTGGAATAGCAACAGGTTTGATTACATTGGGTATATATATGATGTTAAAGACATGGGGATATGACGTGGAAATCGTAAATTGGATTCCACTTTTTAGTTTTTCGTTTGCTATTTTCGTTGCAAATTTCGCTGTTTTAACTCTGCCTTTTTTAGTTATATCCGAAATTATGCCGGAAAAGTTGAAAGATTTAGGCACATCATTTTGTATGGTTATTTTGTCATGCTTTGCATTTATGGTTGTAAAATGCTTACCATTTTTTATAAAAACATTTGAATTTCATGGTACAATGTTTCTATTTGCTGGCGTTTGTTTATCTAGCGTTATTTTTATCATTTGTTATATGCCAGAGACCAAATCAAAAAGCTACGATGAAATTCAGAAATCCCTTCGATAAAACTTGAAACATGTTTATGATAAGATAACTTTGTATTCTTTAAACGAATTTTAAAATAAAAGACACTCCATTTGATGTTTGTATTTAGATTTATTTGCTGTGAACAATTTCTAAGAAAATTGATTTAATTTCATAGAATATTTACTTAGATAGGAAGCAGTGATATATAGTACTATTGAGGCAATGCAGCGACGACATGTCTGAATACGTCATATCTGAACAAATAGATAAATTAAATGTTTAAGACAATGCGTATTCGTCGTAATGTTGGAAAAAATGTATGGCTAAAGCAATTATTCTATGCAAATACGCAGTTAAACGTAATTTTGACTTCTGGATTCCAGCATGTAAAATTGTTTCGTACGCGCAAAAAAATTTAAATTGCTAATCAGCAAGCGAACTTTATTAGACATCACCGGTTGGCCGTATTTTTCCAGTGAAGTGACTATGGTGGAGAAATGTGTAAAATTAATGCACGAACATAGTGTAAAATACTTGGCCGCTATCGTAGGTGTGTTTTGAAAATAAGGAAGAACAATTAAAACTGATTCACGTTTTAAATTAATCTATTAATTTCTTTTACGATCATTTAAAGTCAATAATCGGATATGGCGTGAGTGGCGGCTGGTAAGATAGATTTAATCTTTGCTACTATTGGTTATTATCATCATCATTTTCATTCCAGGGCAAGTCCTTCTCTTCTGCTTTTAAAATCGGATAAATCGCCTTTACCGACGGGAAAAATCTCGGAAGAAGATCTTGAGTAGCTTCACTATTGTGTGTCGGAGGACTAGTTGGAAATTTTGTTTTTGGCTACATCGCTAGTATATTTGGTCGGAAATTGCCTTTGATATTAATCACTATTCCAGCATTTGTATGTTGAATTTAAAAAAAAAAACCACAAAAAAGAGAATCGAATATAAATTAAAACTTCATTTGTTTTTTTTTAGATTAGTTGGTCGCTTATTTGGTTTGCACAAAACGTTTGTTATCTGTAAGTTCGTGGTCGGATTTCTTCAATTGATTGGTGAGCGAACACTTTTGGTTGATCGAACCGAAATAAGACTGATATTCCTTGAATTGAATTCCAATTGTTAGCTTTCCGTTTGTCATCTTTATAGCAAATTGGGCCGTTTTAACCCTGCCATTCTAGTTATATCCGGAATTATGCCGGAAAAGTTGAAAAATTTAGGCTCATCATTTTGTATGGGTCTTTTGTGGGCTACTGCATTCCTTGTTACAAAATGTTTACCACTTCTCAACGCAACATTCGACTTTCACGGAACGATGTTTTTATTTGCTGGATTTTGTTTATCCGATTTGGCTTTTATCATGGTATTCATGCCAGAAACAAAAGGTAAACAATTTTTATTATTTTCATTGGTTTTTTATTATTTTTTATTTTTTTAATATCTCATTTTTAGGGAAAAATTATGAGCAAATCCAGAATTTACTTCGATAAGTCACCGAATTATATTTACGATAAGATAATTTCGAATTCGTTTAAAGAATCATAAAAAAACATGTAAAATAAAACCGTTCTTTTTAGTTAGTGTACGTTAAGTCTTAATAAAGATTAGATAGATAAATAATAAAAGACCGTTTGGTAGCAAACCAAAGAGTAGTTTATTTTTCATATGTTGTTTACAGAGCAAATATTCTATGTAAAGACCTTAAGACTTCTATGTTTTAAACGGTAATATTTTAACGTCTATTTAATACACAATAATGAAGCTATAATTCGCAACCAGGTGTGCGTACTTAACTTTGACTAAGTAAGTATTTTCAAATCATGTACCATATATTTTCATAAAACAACAATGAAGTTTGAAATTTTATCAATTGATATAAAAAGAATTTCGCTTTGTTTTTATATATTTACAAAATTTTATTATTAATAAGTGGAATTTTCCAATAAAGCAATTGGCAATGAATAAAGGCGGCGAAATTAAAACACACATTAACATAATAGCCCTCTATAAACAGATTGTTTGAAAACTTGTTGTTTATACTGCATTAATAAACAAAATA